AGGCTGTATGGAGAGAAGCCTGGAGCAGTCACAGGATCCAGTGAGGCCTACCTCACAGGCTGCAGCCGTCATGGACTCATGCAGAGGGTGGAGCTGTCAGGAAGCACAAGCAGGCCCATTTCACCAGGCCTCAGAATATGCACAGTTACACCTAACAGGCTACCTAAAAGAAAGGGGGAAAAAAGCCGGGCGCTGGTGGCTCATGCCTGTAATCCTAGCTACTCAGGAGGCTGAGATCTGAGGATTGTGGTTCAAAGCCAACCTGGGCAGGAAAAGTCCTACAAAAAAAAAAGGAAAAAGAGCTTATAATGATATATTTATTTATTTATTTTGTGGATCCAGTCGTAGGGCCTGAACTCTGGGCCTGGGCACTGTCCCTCAGCTCTTCAGCTCAAGGCTAGCACTCTACCACTTGAACCACAGCGCCACTTCCGGCTTTTTTCTTTTTGCTTATGTGGTGCTGAGGAATCGAACCCAGGGCCTCATGCATGCAAGGCAAGCGCTCTACCACTGAGCCACCTTCCCAGCCCCTGATATATATATATATATATATCTATATATAGATATATATTTATTTATTTAATTTATTTTTGGGTCTGGTTGTGGGGCCTGAACTCTGGGCCTGGGCGCTGTTCCTCAGCTCTTCAGCTCAAGGCTAGCGCTCTACCACTTGAGCCACAGCGCCACTTCCAGCTTTTTGTTTTTCTGCTTATGTGGTGCTGAGGAATTGAACCCAGGGCCTCATGCATGCAAGGCAAGTGCTCTACCACTGAGCCACATTCCCAGCCCTTGATATATTTATTGATGGGAACCATTGATCACTAGGGTATAAAAGATCTAGAGGAGAGTTTATCTTTGCTGTGACCTGTAGGCCATTCCTTAGAATGGTGAGATACTCACTACTGATTCTTTTGTTAGACAAATCTCTCTCTCTCTCTCTCTCTGATTTGTAAAATGAGAGTAATAGTAGGTTAAATAGCATAACATTTCCAGAAAATCCTCCAGAAAGTAAGCTGTTGGCCATTATCATTGTTACTGTAAATTACCAGAAGGTGTCCATAGGTGCTTTTCATAAGCACCTACTGTGTGCCAGGTTCCCTAACAGTCTTTGAAAAGAGGCCTCAAGATTCCTGCCCCTGGCCTTAAGGGGTGCCTGGTCAGTAGGGGAATTCCAGGTGCTATTGAAGAAGCATTAGCCTTGTGTGGAATGAGGAGGTAGTAGAATGAACATTAACTAAGGATCAGGTCCTGTGTTGGGTCAGAGAACAATCCAGAAAGAACATCAGCAGAAGAGGTCATTGCCCATCTGTACCTTGCTGAAGGTAGATGTCTCGTTGCCTTTTGTGCCAAAGTTGTCTCTGGCTGATAGCTACCTAGGACAAGATGAGATCTTAGAGTAGCTTCTGGCAAGGAAGTGGGAAGGTGGGTCAGGGCCCGCCCCCCCCCGCCCCGGGGAGAATGACAAATGTCAGGCCCCAGCATTTGGTGGGTGCTCTAGAAATACGGTCCTCCTTATCCTTTGTGAGTAAAGCTTGATTTTCACTCTTGGTCTCTTCTGGAATTTTAGGAGGACACAAAACTCACGTGTGGATTGGTTTCTTAGGTGTGGTATGCAGGGTCTTCTGTGACAATGTGTTGCAGAATGGGGTCAGAAATGCTTTCTATGCAGAGAACTTCAACCACAAGCTCCCCTTGGTCTGTGTGTGTGTGTGTGAGAGAGAGAGACAGAGACAGACAGAGAGACAGAGAGAGACAGCTAGACAGAGCGACAGAGACAGAGCAAGAGAAGGGGAAAGAAAAGGGGAGAGGGTTAGGATGCAGGGGTGAGGGTAAAGTTGAACCACAGTCCCTGCCGCAGGCTGTGTTAGCTGTGCTGGGTAGACTCTGCTGTTCCCTAAGGTCCAGGGTGCTGATGGAGATGGAGGCTACAACGATGTGTGATGGCCAACAGCAGCACCTGAAAACTGCTTCACCCTACAAAGTAGGAGATTGATGGGCACTGCTGACCTGTGGCCCCCCACTTTGAAGGGCAGTGGAGACTGAGCATGTTTTATTCCTGTATGTGCCCCTGACACCACCACAGGCCTCGGCTGCCTGTCTGTATCCCTTCCTTCCCCATGACCCAAGTTTCTTTTTGTTACTGGAGACCAGCACAAATGTGGGCAGAGACAACCATGTCTGAACCTCTGGGCAGAGTCAAGTCATTAAGAGTCTATTGGAGGTCAAGATGGGGACTGAGAACCACACTCCAAAACCACAGATAAGCCCATGAGCCAGGAATTACTCATCAGTGAGGTCAGGCCTCAACCTCTGTCATGTCTCTGTGGTCAGGTTGGTTATGTCTGTGTCTATTCTCTTGAGAACAGGGAGAAGAGAACCTAGACTTCAGGTATTAAGTGGAAGGCAGGGCAAAGTCCCTCAAGATGGTAGGCGAGTCCCAAACAGGATTGGTTTGGTTTGGTTTTATTAAGACAGGGTCTTGATGAGTATCCCAAGGCTGGCCTCAAATACATGGTCATTCCTGCTTCTGCCTTTCCTGATCCTGGGATCACAGGACTGCATCCTAAGGCCTGATGGGAGTTGCCTTGAATAGAAATCATATGTGATGGGGATGCTGAGTAGCACCCACATTCAAAGCAGCACATTCAAAGCAGCATATGGGGGCCGGGAAGGTAGCCCAGTGGTAGAGTGCTTGCCCAGTATGCATGAAACCCTGGGTTTGAATCCTCATCACCACATACACAGAAAAAGCTGGAAGTGGCACTGTGGCTCAAGTGGTAGAGTGCTAGCCTTGAGCACAGAGAGGCTCAGGGACAGTGCCTAGGCTCTGAGTTCAAGCCCCAAGACTGGCAATTTAAGACCCCCCCCCCAAAACCCAAAACAAAGCAGCATACAGAGCCAGGTGCCAATGGCTCATACCTGTCATCTAGCTACTAGGAGGCTGTGATCTGAGGATCCTAGTTTGAAATCAGCCCAAGCAGCAAGCTCACTCAACTTGTAGCTCCAGAAATGGAGGTGTGGAACAAATGGCGGAACTCCAACCTAGAGCAAAAAGGCTTGAGGGACAGAGCCCAGGTCCTGAATTCAAGCCCCACCTCCAGCATAAAACAACAACAACAGCAACAAAGCTGTATATGGACCGCAAAGTACAAAAATTTCAAGGTGTAGGAGATGCTGCTGATGAAAATGATTGAAAAGCAAGAGAGAACCCCTTCTGGTGGCTAATGGAAGGGGCTGACGGGGCGGGGGGGGGGGCGGCAGGTCCTGGGCCTCTGGGAAGAACTCGTGGGCTTCAGTCATTAACTGGAAACTGTATTGGTGTCCTCCCTTACGCCTTATCTATTTAAATGAATTGTTCCTACCCCATCCATCTCACTATTTTGGTAGCTCTGTGCTACTGGGAACTTCCCATTTCTGTGTACTTAAAAGCTCAAAGAAACTGGTAGAGACTGCCCCTTGGCATGAATGAGGTCTGAAGCTTTCTTCCATTGCTCTGCAATTTTCCTGATTTCCTCCTTCCTGGCCTTGGGAGAGAAAAGCCTGGCTGGGCCTGGCTGGTTTGCTTACTCCCCTTGGGGGGCGGGGGGGACTGTGTGGATGAAGCCCAGATTGGGGAAAGGGCTTCTCGTCTGCCTGGCCACTCATCTAGATCTGTACCTGTTGTACCTGTACCAGCACTTGGTATGTCACCCAGAGGCTGAGGCAGCCACCATACTTCCTTTCTCTGATTACTCTGGTCTCCATGTCTGACTTCTCTTTTATAGTTGAGGAACATTTCGTGATCAGGACAAGCTGCTCATATTAGTTCAACTTAAGGAGCCCAAGGACGGGCCTGAACACCAACAGGTGTTGGAACGTTGAGCAGAAAGGCAGAAGTGGATCCCAGGCTTCCAGGGACTCCAGTACCCTGGTTTGGGTGCCTACTCAATGGGGCTGCACTTTAATTTTACTTCCTGTTCTGTCTCATTCCCTCCCCTCGTCCCCCCTTGTGCTCTCTGTGTTCAAACTTGGGAGCTAGTGTGACCACTTCTGTTGTAATTGGTGTCATCCTATATCCCCATGATGGCTGGATTTGGGGGAGGGGGTGAAGACATGATGTAGTGCCCCATCCCTGGAGAATACATCCAGAATTTTATTTATTTATTTTGCTGGTCTTGCGGCTTGAACTCTAGGCACTGTCCCTTAGCTTTTTATGCTAAAACTGGTACTATACCACTTGAGCTACACCTCTACTTCTGGCCTTTTTTTGTGGTTAGTTGGGTTTAGAGTCTCATGGACTTTCCTGCCCAGGCTGGCTTGAACAGCCATCCTCAGATCTCAGCCTCCTGAGTTGCATAGGTTATAGGCATGAGGCACCCGGAAGGCACTGACATTTGTAATGAAAGCCCACAATGTATGTGCTTCTGCCCCTGTTGGGCAGTTACAAAGTATCTGCCCATATGGCTCCTTCCCATCTGGACAAGAAAAACTCTACCTTCCCCTGATGCTGGCAGAACTAAAACACTGACACATTTTCCTTTTGAAAGACAAAGGCTCTGGGCTAGGAATGTGGCTTAGTGGTAGAGCGCTTGCCCAGCATGGGTGAAGCCTCTGGTTGGATTCCTCAGTACCACAGAAACAGTAAAAGCTGGAAGTAGCACTGTGGATCAAGTGGTAGAGCACTAGCCTGGAGCACAGAGAGACTTAGGGACAGTGCCCAGGCTCTGAGTTCAAGCCCAGGACTGTCCCTCCTCCCCCCGCAAAAAAGACAAAGGTTCAAGGAAGTCACTTGGGATGGATTTCAGGAGAATGTGGAACCAGAGAGGCAAGACCAGGCCTGGGACGAGTGTATGCCATTTAGTGTTAGACAGTTGTAGGATTGTTCAGCTTCCTAGCCTGAGGCTGGCTGGCCACTAGGGCAGGACCATGGAGGACTTAGCCAGTGCTGCATCTGAAAGTCACTGCAGCACCCTTGGAGATGTTGGCCAGCTCCTGAGACTGTCTCCTTTCCTCCCTGACAGGTGTGCGTCTTGACCGTGTGCGTGGAGGCCGTCAGAAATACAAGCGGCGACTGGACTCGGAGAGCAGCTCATATCTGAACTTACAAATTTCTCCACCTGCTAAAAAGCCATGTGCGTACAAGGGCATCCAGCACCTTGTCCTACAATATTGGACATCCCTTGGGGAAATGCCACCTCTCTACCACTGGGCCAAGGACAGTGTAGATCTGGAGGGGAGGGGACATCAGAGCATCCCCTGGGGAGAAGGATTGTTTCCTGGCTTTATATAGAAAGTCCATCCACATGGGACTTCACAGAGCTCCCAAGGAAGCATGATCTTAAAGAAGCCAGAGACCTGGGGCTGGGAATATGGCTTAGTGGTAGAGTGCTTGTCTAGCATGCATGAAGCCCTGGGTTCAATTCCTCAGTACCACATACATAGAAAAGCTTGAAGTGGCTCTGTGGCTCAAGTGTGGAGTGCTAGTCTTGAGCAAAAGAAGTTCAGGGATAGTGCCCAAGCCCTGAGTTCAAGCCCTAGGACTGGGGGAAAGAAAGATTAAAAGAAGCCAGAGTCCCAGCATCAAGTAATCCCCCCCTACTTCCCCCCCCCCCCATCCCAATCCTACTCCTTCCCCCCCCCCCCCCCCCCCCCCCCCCCCCCCCCCCCCCCCCCTACTTCCCCCCCCCCCCAACTCCCCTTCAAGGTGCTTTGCAGGTTTTTCCTGGGACCATTCATCAGGCAACTTCCTAGGAAAGACCATCTGACATCATAGCTGCCAGCAACTTAGTAGAGTCAAATCACAGATTCCAGTTGTGTTTGAACTTCCTGAGGCTCTGGGAGTCCTGCTTCTTCTTGATTTGTCCTAAGCTCTGCCCTGGCCTCTTCCTCAGGTGTTCACCTTTTTTTTGTGTGTGTGTCAGTCATGGGGCTTGAACTGTGGGCCTGAACACTGTCCCTCAGCTCTTCAGCTCAAGGCAAGTGCTCTACTACTTGAGTCACAGCACCACTTCCAGTTTTCTGGTAGTTGAGTGGAGATAAGAGTCTCATGGGCTTTCCTGCCCAGGCTGGCTTTGAACCACGATCCTCAGATCTCAGCCTCCTGAGTAGCTAGGATTACAGGCGTGTGCCACCAGCACCCCACGTAGGTGTTCACCTTTCTGTCTTTGGTCCTTGCAGTGACCAAGATTGTCTCATACCTACTGGTGGCTGAGCCAGACAAACTGTATGCCATGCCTCCCCCCGAAATGCCTGAGGGGGACATCAAGTCCCTGACGACTCTCTGTGACCTGGCAGATCGGGAGCTTGTGGTCATCATTGGCTGGGCCAAGAACATCCCAGGTGAGTCATGGGGGTTGTGGGAGAGTGTGGCCAAGAGCTCACCCCAAGGCCTGTTGTGTAGCTGTGGTTTGATTTGTAGTGCCCAGCCCCTGGGTAGGCTGGGAGGTCCTTTGGCAACCTGCTCTTCCTTGTGGTCCTTTCTCTCTGTGGGATTTTAGAGAGTTGTGGGTATGGAGGGTTCAGTAATTTCTAAGAACTTTATGAGCTCTTAGTCATTCTGGAAAGAGTTATATTTTTTTTCTTTTTGTTGATTGTGGGCTTAAACTCAGAGCCTGGTCAATATCCCTGAGTTCTTTTGCTCAAGACTAGCACTCTATCACTTTAATCCACAGCACCACTTTCAGTTTTCTGGTGGTTAATTGGAGATAAAAATCTCATGGAGTTTTCCCGCCTGGGCTGGCTTTGAACTGTGGTCCTCAGATCTCAGCCTTCTGAATAGCTAGGATTACAGGTATGAGCCACTGGTGCCCCGTTTACTATTTGTTTGTGCCAGAGCTAGGGTTTGAACTCAGGGCTTGAGCACTTTGTCTGAGCTTCTTTTGCTCAAAGCTAGAGCTCTACCACTTGAGCCACAGCTCTACTTTTGGCTTTTTTGGTTGTTTATTAGAGATTAGAATCACAGACTCACAGATAAAGCCTAGGCTGGTTTTGAAGTCAATCCCCAGATCTCAGCCTCCTAAGTAGCTAAGATTACAGTTGGCACTAGCCAGATCTACTATTTGTAATATTCACAAAGTATCCCTAAACCTTTGAAGGACAGAGCAGGGATGTCTGGTAGACCTTGTGGGGATTATGTTGGAAAGCAGCTCACAAGAGGGGTTGACTGTTCCGGGCAGAGCATGACTTAGCAGTTAGCCTGAGATTTGAATTCTAGGTCTCATGGACTTTCTTGCCCTGGCTGGCTTTGAACCTCAATCCTCAACCTCTTGAGTAGTTAGGATTATAGGTGTGAGCCATTAGCACTCAGCCTAGGTTCCGTGATTTTTTAAAAATATAGTATACCATTTAATGTTTTACCCTATACACACACACACACACACACACACACACACACACACACACACATATGGCATACCTTATATATGCTTATGAAACTTAGCAGAGTCAGAATAATGTGCATACTCTGTTGCCTCATACTCATCTGCCCTGTGTGTGTGTGTGTGTGTGTGTGTGTGTGTGTGTATGAGTGTGTGTGCCCGTCCTGGAGCTTGAGCTCAAGGCCTGAGTACTGTTCCTGAGCTTTTGTGTTCAAAACTAGCACTCTACCACTTGAACTACAACTTCACTTGTGGCTTTTTGTTGATTAATTGGAGATAAGAGAATCATGGATTTTCCTGCATGGGCAGGAAATCTCAGCCTCTTGAGTAGCTAGGATTACAGGTGTGAACCACCAGCACTCTGCTGGATTTCATGATGTTAAGAGTGTTTCTGAGGTGAGAAGTGTGTGCAGTGTATCTCAAGCCCTATGGGCTTTAACCCTCTTTTTTTTTGGTTTGTATAAATGGCAGGAGCTGATTCTTCATTTTTACACACACAGTTCTACATTGTGCACACTTTAAGGCACCCTTTTCGGTGCAGTGTGGCTGCTCTTCTTTGTTCTAACACCCTGACAAAGAGTGTGGCACATAGATCTATCATGACTCCCTCCTCCCGACTCTAGTTCTAGCTGGTAGGATGGCTTGTCTTCCTGTCTTTCCATCTCTTTCTTTTGTCTGCTGTGGCCCCGAAAGGTGAATAGGCTGGTGACGGCTTTAGAGCAGAGGGATTCCAGCCTCTGAATGCCAAGGCCCACAGTGGACTTGGATGAGCCAACGTCCTATGTGAGCGTTCTTGTGTGCCACGCAAGGAAGGAGCCTTCCTGCAGGCAGGGCTCTGAGAGGCTGGAGGTGATAGGGGTGCTGCTGGCAGACATCTGGGGGAGTCCCTGGTGATCCCTGGACTGCAGGACAGGTTTGCCAGGGACTTTGCCGGTCCGCCCTTGCTGAGGAGCTCAGCCTCTCGAGGGATTACACACTCAGTAGTTTTGAATCTGCCCGGTGCTGGCTCAGCACAGATGTGGGGTCAGGCCACTGCTTAAGACACCTCAGCCTAGATTGCTCTACTAACCCAGGGCCAAATTGGGTACAGCCACCCAGCCCTGCCCCCCACATTCCTATCTGGGTCGGCCAGATACTACATTCTAGAAACAGCTCTGGAGTGGCGCCTGGTGGTTTTTGGGGTCACTGCTTCTCCTGCCATCACCTCACTTCCCTTTCTGAGACAGAGGTGCAGGACCAGGAGACGGCTACCCATCAATGCCAGACCAGAGGGAGGAGCAGAGCAGCGTGGTGGCTGGGGCACAGACTTTTGGAGTCACTTTCATCCCCTCTCTGTATTCATGGCCCTGTGCAAGAGACTTCATCTTTGTGAGTTATAAAGTGGGAATCACAGAAGAGCCTCTGCCCCCACCCCCACCCCGTGCAGGATTGCTGGGAGAATTGACGCCTGCTCCATGCTCAGCAGTGCAGCGGAGCCTCTGGGAAGGCAGTCCCAGCATGGATGCCATTCCAGCAGCCATGCCAGTCCCTTTTGTACCTGCATGTCTCCTCATCCAAAGCTGAATTCCTTTAGATAAAAGAGGAAAATGAGCTGGGTGGCAGATTCATGCCTGTAATCTTAGTTACTCAGGAGGCTGAGATCTGAGGACCACTGTTCAAAGCCAGCCCAGTCAGAAAAATCCTTGAGACTTTTTTTTTTTTTTGCCTGTCCTGGGGCCTGAACTCTGGGCCTGGGCGCTGTCCCTCTGCTCTTCAGCTCAAGGCTAGCGCTCTACCATTTGAACCACAGCTTCACTTCTGGCTTTTTCTGCTTGTGTGGTGCTGAGGAATCAAACCCAGGGCCTCATGCATGCAAGGCAAGCACTCTACCACTGAGCCACATTCCCAGCCCATCCTTGAGACTCTTAATCTCCAATTATTGGCTAAAAGGCTGGAAGTAGAGCTGTGACTCAACAGTTAGTGCTCTAGCCTTGAGCAAAAATGCTCAGGGACAGTGCCAAGGCCCCAGCACCAGTACACACACGTGCGCGCGTGCGCGCACACACACACACACACACACACACACACACACACACAGAAAATGAACAGTTGTCTGTCTCAAACACAGATTTGCCTATTTTGCATAAATCTGCATATTGAATTATTTGGGCTTGACCTTCCAGTGTTTAAGGTAAAATTAATGAGTGGAGTCTCTTGCTACTGCATGTAAACCTCATATGACAGGAAATGACACAGTATGCACCCAGTAGTTTTAAACTAATTGACTTAATCCCATCTCCAATTAGATGGAAAACTCATCAGAAGACAGGCTCACTAACGAGAGAGATGGACTGAGAGAGAAAGAGACAGAGAAAGACAGAGAATGCAATTTGTGGGGGAGGGGGAATGGAAGCTGAAGCCTACGCTGAACACACAGAGTCTAGTGTGGCTCCTGTCCACTCTGGTCTGAGATGGAGGGAGGACGGATCACTCAGAGTGCTTCGGATTGGAGCTCTGAAGAGACTCATGTGTACACACCAAAGCTCATGCTTCAGTGTCTGCCTGTTCTTCAGGTCCAGAGCCTGGCACACAGAAAGACCCTCAGTAGATGCCTGAAGCTTTAGTTGGGGATGCCTGAACCCTATTATATACACTATTCTTTCTTTTTTTGGGGGGGGGTCTGGTCGTGGGGCCTGAACTCTGGGCCTGGGCGCTGTCCCTCAGCCCCTCAGCTCAAGGCTAGTGCTCTACCACTTGAGCCACAGCGCCACTTCCGGCTTTTTTCTTTTTGCTTATGTGGTGCTGAGGAATTGAACCCAGGGCCTTGAGCATGCAAGGCAAGCGCTCTACCACTGAGCCACCTTCCCAGCCCCTACACTATTCTTTCTTGCATTGTTATATAACACCAGAGTTACTCCCTCCCTCTTTCCCTCCTTCCCTCCCTACCTTTTTCCCTCACTTCTTTCTTTCTTGTTGTTCTAAGACCTGGACTCAAACTTGGTACCTGACTCTCCCTCACTCATTGGCTAGCACTCTGCCAATTGAGCCATACCCCCAATCCCCCATCACTACTTTTGTGGTTTGGGGCCATCTTAAGTAAAATAAAGTCTGCCTGAGCACCTGTACTGGCAGTTGATCTGGTGATGGTGGGCAGCTAGCATATACAGTACAGATATACTGGACAATGGGATGATTTGTGTCCTGTGCAGAACAGATTGGGATGGCATGAGATTCCATCACACTACTCAGAACGTTCCACAGTTGAAAAGCTAAGTTGCTTATATCTTTATTTTTGGACTGTGGTTGGCCTTGGATAACTACAACTTGAGAGAACAAGATCTCAAAACAAGGGGAGAGAGAGTACTGTAGATTAATTTCTGGCCCAAGGTTCTCCTGGGACATGAATAAGTTCCCTGGGAAAATTTGGGGCTGACTGTGATTTGCCATTGTTCCAGTCAGTCTGAAGCAGTTCTATTCCCAAGTGCAGGGTTTTTATCTTGAGTTGAATTCTCTAAGCATTTAGGTAATTGGAGGACATGTCCAAATTCTCTAGTATTTAATTGTTGTTGTTATTATTAAATGCTTTTTGGGGCTGGTAGTGGGGCTTGAACTCAGGGCCTGGTTACTAGAGCTGGGTGCCATAGGACTTGAGCTACAACTCCATTAATTGGAGAGAAGAGTTTCACAGACTTTCCTGTCCACACTGGCTTTGAATTGTGATTGATCCTCAGATCTCAGCCTCCTGAGTGGCAAGGATTTCTAGGTGTGAGCTACCAGCACCCAGCTAACCCTGAGTCTTTAGAGTACCCACCTCTTAGTTCTGTGAGCAAGCAATTAGAGCCCATTATCCTTCCTTAGGCCCTGAGTTACCCTGTCCAGGAAGCCCTCAAGAGAGTCCCGAACAGCCTGGCCAGCCCTGGCTGCCTTGTGTAGTCCAGCCATCCCTCTTCACGTAGGGTCCCTGGGCAGCCTGCTCCCAGGTAG